TTATTCTGTACCGCAGTATGGTACACAAAGATATAAAAGCTCGTCTCGTTAACTTCATTCTGTAACGCAGTATGGTACACAAAGATATAAAAGCTCATCAATTTTACTTCATTCTGTACCGCAGTATGGTACACAAAGATATAAAAGCTCGTCACTTTCACTTCATTCTGTACCGCTGTATGGTACACAAAGATATAAAAGCTCGTCGCTTTCATTTAATTCTGTACCACAGTATGGTACACAAAGATATGAAAGCTCGTGACTTTCACTTTATTCTGTACCGCAGTATGGTACACAAAGATATAAAAGCTCGTCGCTTTCATTTAATTCTGTACCTCAGTATGGTACACAAAGATATAAAAGTCCGTCGCCTTAATTTCATTCTGTACCGCAGTATGGTACACAAAGATATGAAAGCTCGTCCCTTTCACTTCATTCTGTACACCAGTATGGTACACAAAGTTATGAAAGCTTGTCGCTTAAATTTCATTCTGTACCGCAGGATGGTACACAAAGTTATGAAAGGTCGTTGCTTTCATTTCATTATGTACCCCGGTATGGTAACAAACATATGAAAGCTCGTCGCTTTAATTTCATTATGTACTGCGGTATGGTACACAAATATATGAAAGCTCGGTGCTTTAATTTCATTCTGTACTGTGGTATGGTACACAAATATATGAAAGCTCGTACCCTTAAACATGTTACAGAAAGATTGGTTATCAGACACAGTGACCTGGAATGACCCTCGGTAATTAGCCATCGGAGTGCATCGATCACTTTTCTGCATATGCTGGGGCCTTAATATGGTTTTTCTAATAGAGAGTGAAACGACGTTTGTTTATTTTTGATATTTCTTCTGTATTATATCTTGTTATTGATTGTATGCTCATAAAATATCAGTTTATAATCCAAAATAAAATGCAAACTAGTATAGTATAAATAGTAGTCTTTTTACCCTTGCTTAAACTTTGTATAAATCAATTGGCCCCTTCATCGAGCTCATCGGAGTTTTGAGTTAATCCTGCTTTTCTTATTTGGCGAACGAAGGCACAAGGATGTACAAGTGTTGGATAACATCGGTTGAAATGATTTCCTCTTTTGGTGGCGAAACCTACCATAATTTTGTAAATTATATTAATTGAATAGTTTTTATCAATTAATTTAACAATCATGATTGCCAATGATGCTGGATGTAATGACAATTGGACACCTTCTATGAGATAAATACTCCGTGTACGTTATGACAGCCTTATCAAACGGTAATTTGTCACACTAGGTAACATTTAAAAGGCGACGGTTTCATATATGTTGCTGTACCACGGTTCTTTTCAGCCGTTGTGTTGGTACAGAAACATACAAAAGCAAAGTTTTTATAACACCGTTTTTTTCATATCATTATGTACCAATCGAAGAAAAGTGTACCATGGTACACAATGATTTGAAAGACCAATTCATTTTGTCCGGCTCTTGTCGGCCATCGTAACTTTCCCCGACTGCATGGTTGGGCGCAACGATCCGTAGTGTTTCATGCGTTACCACGTTGTGTGTCCCGTACATTTGGCTGGGTTTTGGGTGGTGCTGGTAGGAGAATGGAGGTGGGTAACTAAATGTCTTTTCATTTATAATTAAAACTTTATTTAAGCTGATCTTAACGTCAGAAGACCGATCGAGAGATTTTACAACATAAGAAAACGTTTCACCTGGTTCAGCATAACAGTAGTCCGACTACACAACGTTGCCCTAACATTGATTTGCAAATCGGCAAAAATGTTAGCGCAATGTTGGCCTAACGTTAACTTGTTGTGTGCCCAATATTGGATCAGCGTAGGCGCAATGGTTGAACTGTCATGTTTAACGTTGGGCCAACGTTGGTCTAACATCTGCTTATAACTTTTGCCCAACGTTCATACATGTATAGATTGTTGGATGTTGTCTAGGTTCTTCTTGTTATACTTGTTACAGAGTGTAGAATTTGGTCGTCTGGTCTGTGAGTATATCCAAATTTAGCCCCACGGTGATTAAGTTTTTTTAAATGAAGAATAGATAAAAACAACTTCAGAATAAATCACCAGACTATATCTTTGTAATTTTTACAATGTATATATTTATTCAGTTGTGTTCATCAGTGTCTTTTCCTGTTGTCGTTCGCATTAAAATGTCTATATCCACGTCCTTCCGTCTATATCCACGTCCTTCCGTCTATATCCACGTCCTTTCGTCTATATCCACGTCCTTCCGTTTATATCCACGTGCGTCCTTCCGTCTATATCCACGTCCTCCCTACTATATCCACGTCCTTCCGTCTATATCCACGTCCTTCCGTCTATATCCACGTCCTTCCGTCTATATCCACGTCCTTCCGTCTATATCCACGTCAATCCGGTTGCCACTGTTGATGTCAAACTATGTTGAGTCTGTTTTGCCGAACGGCTTCTGTAAAAAACAAGTTTATTTTGAGAAGCTGGAACATATTTACATCAATTGATAAATATTATTTCATCAAATCAATCGATATAATTTATTAATTATATACATCACGTAAGTCTGGAATGGATTGAATACTGAGCTGACACGGAATCGTGATCGGTAAAACTAGCATAGCACGGAAGGAAAAGTAGCATAGTATGTAAAGAACACGCAATAGATTTGTAAACGAATGCACCAACACAAATATACATAACATGGACAATTAATTCTTCCCAATGAAGGAAATCTACAAATGTTTATAGAATAAGATTTCAAACCAGAAGTAACTATAGCTATATTGAAAAAAAATGGCGGTGATCCCCTTCCATATACATGTAGTTTTTGTCATTGAATTTTAGATTTAATTTTTACAACAACAATTAAAGTTAACACTTAAACTTGAATGTTGGCCCATACATAACTTAATATATAAGCAATTACCAGTTAAACATGTCAAGATATTTATATGTAGTGTTTGAATTAAGAAAAATAAAGTTCTAGTGACAAAACAAATTTTCGTATGTAATACTATATGTACCTGTAATATCTATAAATCAATATAATCATAGGAAATCCCATCTATAACCACACTGGCCTAGGGAAATAGCAACCCACCAACACTAAGAACAGGAGGGGGTGATGTTGTGTAAACATTCCAGGCAGTGGTCAGGCTTGCCCCTGTCCAGTATGTTTACACCAGACATACAGTGTATCCTTCCACTCAATTTAGTGCTTTGAACATTCCTTTAAACTGATGGCTGTAATCACAGTACTCTGCCCTTTACGTCTGACCATGAACACTTCTGTCTTATTAAATAATCTTTTAGTTTTACTCCTACCTGAGGAATAATGCAAAACGGTGTAGCAATATCAGCTCCACAATAACATTTTCTATACGTATTATTTGGGCTGCCATTCACATGACATGTCATTTGATGATGATAAGACACAAGTTTTCGCTGCCTAAAACTCCCTTAGTATACATGTTCAAATTGAAACTCAGGGTCAACAAAGACCTATGTTGTATCTTTTTGCAAAACCAACTATGACATTTCTTAATTTTTGAAGTTTATAGAAGTTTTGCATAAACTTTACTGAATTCACCCTTCCATGCCCCGCCCCCACGTAGAAACCAAAGTCACGTGACTACATACTCCGACAACAAATGTAAACAAGCCATAGTAAAAGTTTGCCCATGGCGATGGCGGCAGCGACTGCTGCAGGACTCGGGGACATTCCCGATGATTTTTGTATGGGATACATTCAAGATGCAAACATTTCTGAAAAATGTTTATCCAGGGGAACTATTTATTTTAGAGAGGGCTATGTCCACAACCTAAATTTAACAAAAAATGATGTCCAAGCGGAGGTGGCAATCGGAGGGAGATGCTACCGAAGCATGAGAAAGGGGAGAAGCCACACTTGTTAACATTACATTTACAGTAGGCTTAACAAAGAAGTGAGTTAAGAACGCATTCTGTTCAGCAGGGTAATTATCCAGTTTGGGTCTGTCGAGTTCCGTTTTTCTTTTCTTTTTTTAATTAAACGGTTGTTCAAAATATCATGCAGTGATGTACGTTGGTTTCCTTGTTCAGACGTTATCTTAAATAGCGGTATCCGCGGCTCAATACTTGGCAATTATCCCTATTTAGGAGGGAGACTCACGAGTTTTACATCTACATAGTAATGACCACCTTCATTTATTTGAAGATCATGTCATGTGATGTGCTAGGCCAAGAGAAGAAATTGAGCAATTTAAACTAGTGAATTTGTTAAAATTTCACCTGAAAGAACCATTTCCTTAAGGTGACAGTACATACATACATTTGTTTAATCTCCTCGATGGACATTTTAAAAATTGGGAAGTATGACAAGCTGGTGTTAAACTGTTTATGTGTGTTCTTACCTATAGCAATATGATCATATATGAACCCCCTATATATATGTGTGTACCCTAAACTACAGACTGTAGTGCAGGCCTAACGTACAATCATGGCAGTCAATGAGTCATTCAAAATGTAAAATTATGTATAACAAAAGGTGGACATTGATAACGTTAACAGTCATCTCCGACATCTGTTGCTGTACTGTGCGATTACATCCTAATAAAAACAAGGGAGTAGGCCCTATTCAAAACATTTGCTCCTAAATGTACTGTTTACAGTGAAGAAATAAAAAGTATAAAACATGAGTTATATTTAATTATATTTAATTATTCCTTTAATGCACTCATCCAAATTCTGCAAATGAAGTGAATAGCAGCTTACATAAAGGCATAACATAGACATTTATCCCTCCCTTTTGTCCTCTTTTTAAGGACAAAGCATTAATTCTGTGTTGATAACAAATCATCAGTACATTATTACCCCATGCCCCATTCCCAAAATTATATAGTATTACGCTTCCTCCATTCTTCAATATCTAAGAGTGACAAGATCTGATGTGCAGCAGGCCTAGTTTACGAGTTTCTTCCTACAACGTTTCACGGTATGTTAACAACAGTTTATCCTCACACTCCATGTTAACTATGTCTTTCCTGTTATTATGGTGTTGTGGGGCTTGAATAGTGAGAAAGTCAAGTAGGGCCTGGAATGTTGAGAATTTGAATCCTTTATAATATTCAAATAATCCTTGAATCTGTGATTCCTCCTTTAAAATCTCCTGAACAGTCAGTGGTTTGGGTTTGTCATCACTTACAGGATTTCCCAATGTAGCTTCATGTTGTTCATACCACACTCTGTATTCATTGAATAAGACTTCAGACTGATGAACTTGTTGCTGAAGCCTCTTGATTTCAGCTGCTGCTGATAGCAGTTCCAAAGATGTTCCTGAAAAAAAGTTCTATAAATAAATCAAATTCAGCTGATTTTATTTTATTTTCAGTCTCAGAAGAATGACATTGCTTTTAACAATGGCAATGTCATGTCTTGCTGAGAAATGATTTATACCCAACCAGTAAAAGTTAGGTTGCCACTTTGTTACCAAGATTTGGTGGAAATGTCAAAGGTTGCAATGTTGGAAAAGGCAACACGGTCCCAAAGTACCAACACCCTATGGAACAGACTCGGAGAGAAAAGACTTACAGCATCTCAGATGTCCAAAGTTGTAAACAGAAAGAAAGGTCCTACTGATGCTATGCTAAAGGTTTGTTTACAATAAAGACATTCTCTTTTATTACCCAATAGTCTATATAAATTATAATTAGTCATTTTTGACTGTTTCTGGCTATTTGTCCAATTTCGGCTGTAGGGGTAAAACAGTCAAAACTGTTTTCCCGGTCAGAGAGAACTGTTACCCGGCGCGAATTCGATGCGCAGAAATCCCCCCTCGAGAGCCCCCTTCAAGCGTTTCGGTGACCGCGACTCAGTGTTGAAGCAATGGCAACATTGCATGCAGCATTGATACTAATATTTATTTGGTAATAAAACAATTGTTTCATGGTTATTTGGGGAACAGTCAAAACTATCATCCC